AATTGTAAAAAAAAAAATAACCAAGTTTATTTGAAAAAACCTCAGCTTCTTACATGATTTCTGATCAACATTTACTAGAACTTGAGAGCCATTAACCTGCTCCACGTACATTGAGATATTTTCCCGCACTAAAAAATAAAAAATAAATACATACAAATTCTCTCCTCCCCCTTACATGTCCTAGATGTGAGTGGTTAGGCATCCACCGCCTTAAGGTCTCAGTTGAACAGAAGCAAGTAAAAGAGGTTTCTCTAAGAGATAAGAGAGTGAAAGCAGAAGGCCTGTCTCAGGGATGTAACATCTCCACCTGCCCCACCAGGCCCCTCCGCTCTGCCCAAGGTCAGGCACCCGAAACACCCATCTAAAAAAATGCTCCGGTGGAAACCCACCCCATGGGGGGACAGGGCAGCATGGCCCCATGGCAGGACCGAGGCCGGCATCCCGCCCTGGCACCACCAGCCAAGCCCCCATGTTCGCACCCGTTTCACATCACCCAGCATTGGGCTGAGAAGAGGCACTGCCAGGGCTGAGCTGGGGGGCGGATGGGGGGGACCCCAGCCCTCCCCATGGAGGGCTCGGCCGCAGGGGCTGGATGCACAGGGGCTGCTGCAGCCCTGGGGCGGGCAACCCTGCCCAACGTGAACTGCAGCCGTCCTTCTCCAACCCGAATATCCCGTGAGAGCACACTACGAAAGAGGGATTTAAAGAACTACAGTAGCTAAAGTGTTTTCAAAACATACCTAAAGACCACCTACAGAGCCAGGAGGCACCAGGCACGGGAGCCAAAGACCACCCTGTCCCGTGCCCGGATCTCCCCCTCCGCGGAGGGCCTGCGGTAAGAAGCGTGTGAAGCAGTATTCATCCAGGGCTGGCCCTGAAGCCCGTCGTGCTTCAACAAATCCAGTATCCTGCTTTTATGGCTTTTTAACAACAAAACTCCCCAAAACACACACACGCACCCCCCCATCCCACCCCCCAAGCAGAATACAGAGCTAAAGCATGGTTTAGAGTTAAGGCTCGTCCAGATTCAGCAAGATATGAAGACTGTAAGGCACATATTAGTACATTCATGTTACTGTTAAAAAGCCAGAATATAAAAAGCCCCCCTGCCCCCCAACACACAAGGATACTGTGTGTGTAGCCCTGTTACCTTTGTTGAACACAGATGGAAAGACAATTCAGAGCCCGGTTAAAAATGAACACCTGGTTTAAACACTTCTCACAGCCACCCAGCGCCAGCGGAGCACTGCCCTAGCCACCGCGCCAGGGCAACGGCGCTTCCCCGACACTCCGGGATCGAGACCAGTCCCTCACATGTGGCTCTCCTCCTCTTTGACACCATCCTCCGAGCTCTTCTGAGGTGACGGGGCCACGTCATTGTTTGCCTCTTTCTGCTTCTCAGCCTCGTCGACGTTGGTCTCCTCCTCCTTCCCTTCGTTCCTCGCCTTCTCCTCCACCTTCTGCTCCTTTGCCACCAGCCGGTAGTTGATGCCCATCCCGATGAAGAGGTAGATCCCTGAGACGATCAGGATGATCCCACAGGCCCAGTACGTGTACTTGTAGTCACCGTACATGTCATTGAGCTTCCCTGAGGGACAGAGAGGGGACAGCTTAGCCAGATACCCCAGAACTGCTCCAGGTTGTGGAGATGTTCTCAAGAGCAGCCCAAGCCCATCACCCTCAGCTTCAGACCTTCATTCCTCTGGCCCCCGCTCCTCCACCCTGTGCCAGGGGCTCAAGCACCCACTCTCTGGGCCACCCCTCAGATGCTGGGGCGGACTCAGGGCCAGTGCTCGCTCCCCTGGCCCCTACCCCAGTGCCGAGGGTTGCTCATGGCCCAAGGGGACCCACCACCGCTCAGTGAGGCCAGGCAGGATGGGCAGGGCTCCCCGGGCACAGTACACCCTACCTAGCAGAGGGGGTCCCAGAAGCACAGGGCAGCACTCCACGATGGTCACCAGGCCGACGGCACTGGAAAATCGCTGTGCTCCCACCAGGTCCATCAGGGTCTCAAACAGGACCGAGCTCAGCCAGCCAAAGGCAAAGCCGAAGAAGCCAGCGTAAATGCAGAAGCCAGCATAGGTGGTGGACATGGGGGCCAAGAGGTGGCACACCCCATTGTAAATCACAGAGATGGCAAAGAAATACTGGACTCGGGGTCTGATCCACTTGGTGTTTGCCACCAGTCCCATGGAAGGTCTGGCCACCATGTCTACAAAGGCCAGGATGGAGAGCAGGAAGGCTGCAGACTCATTAGCAATCTTCTTGCTCTTCGCATAATTGCTGAGGAAGACCAAAGGAGTGAAGAGCCCAAAGAACATGATCACGTTGCCCGACAGATAGAGCAGGAAGCCCCTGTGCGTGAACAGGGACAGGTCCAAGAACTTGTTGATCGTCTGGAAAAGCGTGCTCTTCTGTTTCTTGGTCTTCCCGCCAATGAGGTCTGCGCTGGTGTCGCCATCGTCCTTTTTCACCACTTTCCCAGCCTCCTGCAGCACCTCTTTATTGGCCTCTTTCTTCAGCTGATCCGGCTTGGGGCCTATGGGCCGCATCAGGGATCCGGCGACGCAGCAGTTCAGCAGAAGACCACCGAGGATGAGGAAGCTGCCACGCCAGCCAAATATGCCAAAGAAGAGCTGGTTCACAGGCGCCAGAGTGGAGAGGAAGACGGGGCTCCCCGCCATCGCCAACCCGTTAGCCAGGGGACGCTTCTTGAAGAAGTACTTGCCGATCATGGTTAAGGCTGGGTTCAAGTTAAACGCGAGTCCAAGGCCTGAAGGAGAGGAGAGAGGAGGCGCTCAGAGCTTGACCACCCCACCCCACCAGCTGGTGGGACAAGCGGCAGAGAGGGGTGTCGGTTCTGGGGCTTTCACAGCTTTGTTTCAGCCGTGTTAACTCCGCAATTGCACAAGGACCGCTCGGCTCCCACTGCCGACTCGGGAGAAGGTGCCAGGGCAGCAGCAAAGCCGCACACAGGAATTCAGGAGCCGAAGGGGAGAACCACCCCGGCTCATGACAAACCTTACGTGAACTGGTGGGGCACAACCCTAACCTGGGGCAGGAACAACGGATGCTCTCTATTCTCAGTACCACATACTAGTCCCGTGTACAGTCGCTAGTATGGTCTCCCCACATGTCACCAAGGCCATCTCTTATTAGAGGAGGTAACAGGCATCAAGCTTTATGCAAATCCAACACAGGCATCCCCTAATAATTACAAGGTTTAAGTTGCTCCTCTTGCTGCCTCAGGAGAGGACTCACCTCTGTCGCAGCCCTGTGAGGGCAGAGCCGCCACTTACCCCCTACGACTCCGACGCAGAAGTAGAGCTCCTCCACCGTGTTGCAGAAAGAGGCTGCAATCAGCCCGCACCCGGAGAGATTGGGTTGGCCGGCCTGCCGTATTTGTTCACCAGGATGCTGCTGATGGGACCTAGGGAGTTGAAGGAGATACGCCCAGAGATGAGTTATCTTTGCACAAGAGTCAAGACACACACACACAAGCACACTGGAGGTTTACTGCCACAGGCTTCTAGCTTTCGCACAGTGACACTTCACCCAGCGAGGGAACTGGGTAAGGGGAAAGGACGGGAGGTCCAGAGGCAGCTGGAGATAAGAGTGACATTTGGTTAGAGCCCAGAAAGCTGAGACTTCTCCGAGTAAGCTGCCTTCTGTGGGCTGAACCAGGAGCTGCCTGGGCACCAGCTGCCCCCCAGGGACAGGGGTTTGGAACAGGGTGATGCCACCTGCCCTGCCCCATGCAGTGCTCTGCTCTGGGCTGGGGGCTCTGCCCTGCCCACGGCCACCCGCCCCCCATGGGCTGGGGTCTCTGCAGCAAAGCAAGTGCACAGCAGCTGCCCAACTCCAGCGAGAGGTTTCTGATCAAGACCAGACAAAAGCTGTGAAGAAACAGCTTCCGTGGGCGCAGGCGAAGCTCCCCAAGGCCTCGTAGGAGGAGCAGCACCGTGCCACCCCGGGGAGAAGGGGTGCTTCTGTTTTCACTGCTACCCCTAAGGCAGGAAGAGCCCAATTGCTCTGCACACCTGCCTTTTAAGTGCTTCCTTATCAGGAGCTTTAATCCAAAGCAAACAGTGATTAGATACTGTGAAGCATGCTCTACAGATACTAAAATGTATATTTAAATAAACTGAATGAACATCCATTGAATATTAACAGACCTAGCTTTGCCATTAACAGATAGCAAAGTTGTCAACATGTTATTCATGGGTCCTCAGACACTACTTGACCTTTTTGCCCAGTTTAAACAAAGCCTGGAGAAGGCTACAGAAGCCCTGCTGCTGCAGAGGCTGCCCCCAGCCCCGTGGCATCCCGCTCTCCACAGCCGGCGTGGTGAAAAAAGCAGGAGCGCCCCGCGCCAGCGGCTCCAACTTGATGCCACTGGCAGTTGGGAAGAGGCCACGGCCCAGGTCCCATGAAAGGTGGCAGCAGCACCCAGGGGCTGCCACATTGCCCCAGGCCCCACAGGCCTCCCCACAGAGCGCTCAGCACTTTTGCAAAACCTGTACCTTGAACTCGGTAAACGTGATGCCCCTGGACAGAGTCTAAAGGCAGCAGCAGCCCTTCCTCCAGGAAATCCAGCCCAGAGCGGCAGGCTCCAAGGGCAGGTACCAGGAAACCACCCGGCGGGGCAGCGCCATGCACCCTGGTGGAAATTCCCTCCTCTTTTTTTTAATTAAAAAAGAATTCACACCCACTCCTATTTTATAGATTCACATGAAGCATTTCTGACCAAATGTTAGCTGACCTACTTTGATTATTCTTACGGTGAAAAAAGTGTAAGGAACAGAACCAGAGTCGTCCCTAATCCTAACATGGAGCTGAGAAAGGGGCATTTCAGATCATTACATCCACGTATCCTGACAGCGACTGCACGGGGCGGCTGCGTGGGGCTGCAGGACGTGCTGCTCCACCACCTCCAGCCCTGCCCGGGACAGGAGCTACCCCAGCTCTGCAAGATGCCATCAGCCCAGGACGTTTTGCCAGAGCATGAGCTACCTATTTTTTTTTGCCCCAGGGAAGCACGCAGCTCCCGCAGGAAGGTGCCCTGGGGAACAGGGAGAACGGGATGCACACTGTGACCGCTGCAAAGGGTCTGGGCTCAGGCTGCAGGAGCCCTGGCACCAGTGAGTGGGGCAGCAGCATGCTCCTGTGCCAGGGGATGCACCTGGGCAGGTCTGGGGTACCTTCAGCATCCCTGCCACTGGCTTATGGGCAAGTGGTTCAAGACCAGCGAGCTGCCGGGATTTAATGGCAACTGTTCAAAGGGAGCAGGAGAGACAGTGTCAGCGTGGAGGGAGGGGGCCGGGGGGTGACCCCAGGACTGGAGGAGGGAGCTCTCAGCTCAGCTGCTGGGCAGCTCCAGGCAGTGCCCACCCCGGGGCCCCCAGAGGAACAAGCTCTGAGCTATTAGGAGAGGAGGAATGGCCCAGATTGAGTCTCATTAAGGCAGTTACACGGTTTACAAGCTTGTTATAACATAGGAGCAGGGAAATGTGCTGGTCGCTTCGCTAGCTGAGCGAGGACAAAGCAGAGCCTGTTCCCCCAAAGGAAAAGCCTCGTGCTTAGCCAGGCGCTGATGTCAGCTCCTTTCGATGCACAAACGCAACGAGGACGTGGGCAGTTTGCCAGCTAGGGATGGCAGCGGTACAAGCTCCGATTTGCCTCTGAAGCGGACGCAACAGCAGGCTCCCAATAAGAGTTTCTTTCAGCTGCGCGACCCAGTGCAAAGCTGCGTTTGCAGGCGGGTAGGGGACACCAGGGCTTGGACACCTGTGAAGCGAGGGCCAGGAGCACAACACCCTGTGGGGAGCTCTCTGCCTGCTCCTCGCCAGTTAAAAACAAGCATAGAGCACACAGCTTGGGGATTCAAAGGCTCCAAGAAGCAGTTTCTGAAGCATGGAGGAGGGGAGCTGTTTCAGTTTAAGTAGTTTCGCTTCATTCTGCTCATCCCTCTCTACTTCCAGCGCACACTGCCAGCCTCAAACAGCACAAGCTGCCTACGGTGCTGCTCAGCATCATCAAGGAAGAACAGGCAGCACCAGGTTTCAGTGCACTCCAGAGCACCGCTGAGGGACCGGAGCTGATCAGAAACTGGGGGCAGACCCCTAGATACAGCCACTGTTCGCTGGATTAAAAAAAAAACCACAAAACAAAAACCACAAAATCAACGTCTTATCTAAAAGAGACCCTGTGAGCAGAGCTCCTACGAGTGGCACAGCGGCTCCCTGGCCTTCAGGCGGGTGCTGGAAGCAGACACAGCATCCGCAGCGTGCTGTAACAAGGACAAGGGCAGAATTACACAAGTTGTAATTCCCCGGAAAGATTTTACTTACAGCTTTGCAGAGGAGGACAGATTAACCCGGTTTTTGCATTCTGGGCATTAAATGGAACTTTTTGAGCAACCTCCTTCAAGCAAACTTGCTAAGGAAAGTTTTTGCTCTCATGTAAGGACAGAATTCCAACTTTTACTGAAGTTCTGGTTGTCATCACTACAGCCAGGTGCGAATCAGACCCAGCAGGACAGCTGCATCCTGTACGGCAACGCACAAGCATGTCTACTGCTGCCTCCAGTCCACCTACCTCCTGCATACATGACAGCCAGCATGATGGAGGAGATCCATGAGACTTTGCTGCTGGATGCGTTGAAGATGACCTCAATCTCTTTGAAGAACACGGTGATGGATTTGGGGAAGGCGTAGGAAAACCCAATGGAGATGAAGGCTCCGATGACCACGGCCCATCCCCATCCTCCTTCAGGAGGAGTGTATCCCACAGGGCCTCCGATGGCCGGTGGCATCTTGAACCAAGTTGACGATGACTCAGTTGGGGTTCAAAGATCTGCAAAGGACAAGATATTGCCTCAGCTGAAAGCAGACAGCTGCGTGCCCGCCCCCTGGCATGCAACAGCATGGCTTGAGCCCTGCTCACCAGGCTGGCACGGCACCAGTGTCCCAGACCGCCTCCGGGAGATCTGATCCGAGAGGGGAGCACTCGGGGTTGTCAGCACACTGGCTTCGCAAGGCTGCCCCAGAACACATGCTCAGATTGCTGCTGGCCTTTAAGAGCCCTAGCCAACAGGTATTTATGAGCAACAAATATAAGACACAATACCCTGCCGTAAGCTGAAAAGGGCAGGCAGTGCCCTTGCCAGCAGCAGCCTGGGCATGGCAGTGAAGCGGGCAGGGTGACTGGCAGCACAGGGCTGGACCTGCCGAGGGCTGAGCAGGGCAGCGGCCGGTCTGGCCGGGGCTCACCTCCCTGGGGCTGAGCCCCTGCAGCTTCTCCAGGGTGCGATCCCAGCAACCCGCAAAAATCTCGGGAAGCCCCGGGCCACCCGGAGCAGCACACCCAGGTTATTAAATGCAGACACACCAGGGGAAGTAAGTCCACAGGCACAAGCCAGGACACCTCCATTTCTGCAAAAGCAAACAGGCAGGCAGGCGATTGCTCTGCAAAGAGCAAACGGGCAGGCAGACTTCAGCACAGCAGCCAGCCCTGAAGGCCACAGGCTGAGGCTAAACTTGGTCTCAGCAGTGACCTGGGAAGGCTCCCGCACGCTGCCCCGGGAGGGAGAGGAGTCCACTTGGAGCAGCCCCGGCAGAGCCCGGCTCCCCAGGGGCTTGGTCCCCGCACGGCACCCCCTGACCCAGCTGCTGCCCAACCCTCCTCCCCTACTGAAAAGGCTATGGCAGGTTTCACAAAAGCACCCAAGCATCAAAAAAATTCACCTTAAAAGCTCAAAACCAGAAGGGATTAGAAAACAAAGTAAATGGGGAAATGTCATCCAGGCTTCCTGAAGTGTGGAATCCCCTTAGAGAGGCCAGGCAGGGAGAGGCCGATTCGGAGCAATGCGGAGACCAGCAAGGTCGGGCTGCTCAGGCATTCCCGGTGCTGCAGCTGCTGCACAGCTGGATCACACCCCGGAGCCGCAGTTACTCGAAAAGCAAGGCTGCTTCAGGCAGCAGCACGAGCTGTCCCAGGGAAGAACTGCAACCAGAGCAGCTGCTCACAAACATGGTTTACAATATGCAAAGCAACAGGAATCGCTACAGTCCCCGGAACTCCCGTGTGCCCCCGCAGATTTTAGAAGACACTTTCTGACAACTCATGGCCCTCCCCAGCCCGGCAGCCAGAGATCCCCCTTCCCATATTAAGGGCCATCAGCCAAGGAGGGCACATGGCGGGTTCCAGTCGCAGCGATAACTCCGAAGCAGCATGCTGGCTCAGAGAAGTGCAACCTCCTATTTATAGCACGCACCCACTCAGGATCACGGCGATTACCATCTCATCCACGGCTGATGGCACGCCAGCATCTACCTGGGATGTCCCCTCGTGCCCCGGGCACATCGCAACAGTACCATTGGTGCCTGCCTTGTTTTGTTCGCTCCACATCACTTTGGTGCGCATCCGAGGCTGGGATCCAGGTGTCCCGGCTGAAGTTCAGCCGTGGCCCCAAGCCTCCGGGAGCCCCCGC